GTTTATACAATGTTTCAACTGCATAATCGTGTATATTAAAAAGAAAATCAAACACAGAGAGTCTCAAAAATCCCTTTGTATGAGGAACTACTTTCTTCCGCCATTCATTCACATCTGCAGCTGACGTCAGAACAGAAGAAACCGCAGCTCATTCACCAACGTCACTTTAAAGCTAGTGTTAGAATGATTCTCTAGCATAATGCCTAAAGTGATGACAAAGCAGGTGATTTTGCTCACATTTTAAGATTATAAGGCTGAGAAGCATGAAATGCCATCAGTCTACACAGATTTCCCAGTATTTCTCTGTTGCAATTGGGAGATCCCAATAATTAACCCCGAAAAAGCCGAAGCAAAGCAGACACTACCAGATTATGGTATAAATACAGCAAAACAACATATAAAGGACAGAGATCGACTTAAGAATTTCACTTACTAGTTTTTTTTTTTATGATCTGATCAGCTGTAATTTGAAATTACAGTTTTTCTAACCTAAGCACTTGTTATGCGGTCTCTGTCACCATCTTGTGGTGCAGACCTCTTTACTCTGCTCTGTATGAAAGGCTAAAGGCCACCATCGCGCTGTCTCCCCAAAATTTAAATATTTAAAATAGGCACAACCCTTATAAATAAACTGCATACTTACAATCCAGACAACTACATTCTCGCCTAAAAAAGCCTCAAACGTACATTATGTTGTCCAAGAGCTGCAATATTTTTCCAACTGTAGTAAGTTTATTGATCTGCTGTCACTCTATGTGGGCGGAGTAATACACAAGGGTGAAGACACTGTTCGACGCTGTTTTTACATTATTTTCACAAAAAAATGAGTAAAAATAATATATGTCAAACTATAAACTGAATTTCTATAAAAATAGTACGTCCGATCTTGTTAATACAATTTTGTTTTGATAATAATAAATTTAATTATATAATAATGAATTTTATATTATATTTTCTTAAAACTTCTTGCTAATAAATAATTAAAACCAAGTGATTTAAAGTAATATTTAGTCATTATTATTAAAATTAAAAGTTTGCGACATCACTATTCATTATGCATCAAAATATTTGTATTTAAAAATTATATATATATATTTTTTATTTTCTAAAATATAATAAACTCATCTGAAAAAAAATTAATATTGAAATATTGATCTTAAAAATGACCAAACAGGCTAAATATAAATAATAATAGTAAAATAATATTAATATAAAATAATACTAGTAATGTTATTCATATAAAATAATAATCACATAATATAATATTTAATAATAAAATTAAACCTGCTTTTATTTCTAGAAGAAAATAAATATCAGAAATACTGTAAAAATCTCTTTACTCGGTTAAACAAAACTTGGAAAATATTTTAAAAAGGCATCAAAGTTCCACAGGAGGGCTAGTAAATTTGCCGTTCTCTATATAACACTTGAATATGTGCATAATAAATTCAATTGCTTTCACAGATTAAAGTGAATCTGGCCTAAAATAGTATGCAGTGAAAGCAGATTTGAAGCACTTTGTCTTTCTCATGATGTCAGTGTGTCTGCGCTGATGCCACCCAGAGTGAGCTGGCACACAGTCGCTGGAGAGCCAAACCCCCGCCAATTACACTCTTGTGTGCCCACAAACCCCCGCCAGCCCTGCTTGTTCCCAGGGGTTCAGGGGCCACTGTACTCACTACACCCCGTTTCCCATACAATCATAAAGAGGCGCTGAAGAAAGCTCTCAGACTGCAGCCCGTTTCCCAAACACTCGCCCTTTATCTGCCTCTTTCTGTCTCGCTCGCTCTCTCTCTCTCTCTGTCTTTTCCACGCTCTCTTTTTGGGGATAATCCGGCTGATTTTTTTTAATTTTTTTTCTTTTCCAGTAATGTGCTTTCAAGTTTTCTCCCTGCAGTATTTCCAGCTTTAAATGATTAGCACTTCACTCTCGTTGACTACAAACTTCACTTTGAATTTCAGGTTCACTCTAAAACAGACGGAGAGATGGTTTAATGTATAATAACGATTATTTTTATCTGTTGCTTTAAAACTAGATAACAACTGATAGAAGTGTTTGTAGATAGATGGATTTTTTTTATTTAAATATACATTTAGATTCGTTCAGTATCCTTTGGCTTAGTACCTTATTTATTAGAGGTCACCACAGCGGAATGAACCACCAACTATTCCACCATATGTTTTACATATGTCATATCCTTCCAGCTGCAACCCAGTACTGGGAAACACCCATACACTATGACATTCACACACACACACGCTACAGCCAATTTAGTTTATTCAATTCACATATAACACATGTGTTTGAACAGTGTGGGAAACCGGAGCAACCGATGTGGGGAAACCCAACACAGGGAGAACATGCAAACTCCACACAGACATGCCAACTGGCTTGGCTGGGACTCAAACCAGCAATCTTTTTGCTGTGAGGCCACAGTGCTAACCACTGAGCCGCCTAAAATATAAAATAGATTCCAAATTTTTTTTTATTAAATTTCTTTTTCTATTTTAAATGTTTTATTTATTTGTAATTTTTTTAATTTAATTATAAAATAATCATAATAATGTCACATCCCCGGCTTGTCCCTGCTACTCCAATAATCGCTCTACTTCAGCAGCCAACTCTCACCATACAGCTGCGGTCACACTAGAGTTTGAGCATGCGAAATTCTGCCGTACAGTGCTGCAAAAAGGGGCGGGATTAAACAAGATTGTGAGACATTTTAAAAAAGCGAGTGATTGCGACATGTTTTAAATTCCGGTTCAGAGAGGTCATGTTTTGATCCTCGATTGGTCTCACGCAGTCAAGCGATGCGATTTTGCAGGTCAGAGTTCAACAAGCTTGAACTTTGCACCGCAGCAACCTGCGAAACTTGACGCATGACCTTGTGTTTCCAGTCAGACGCATTCGCGTGCGTATGAATGGAAGTCTATGGGGAGAAAAGTTCAGTGTGATCGCAGCTTACCCATGCACACTATCCTGAGTACTAATAGGACACACCTGCATCAGCAATCACCAGTCCCCTATATAGACTCACCATTTACAGTCGCTCATCGGCTGGAATTGAAGTCAGATGGTTCACCTCACCTTCTCCCTGGCTCGCCTTCTTCCGTGGATGTTTCCCTTCTCCTATGGACGTTTCTCCTAACCTGTGGATGTACATGCTGTGAAAAAAGAAAGTGACTTTATACACTGATGGTTGAATGAAGATCCTTGTATACATTGTGAACAACATACTAGTCTGCTCTCCATCCAAGAATATCACTTACCTTCTTCTCCTGTTGAACAATCCACTGTGTTTTGAAAAAAACTGATGAAAAGAGATAACTATCCTTGTCTTTATTGTGTGACCGTGACAAATAAACACAAATAAATGTTTTTTATTTAAAACTGCAGTATGTTTGTGTGTATATATATTCTACACACACACACACAAACACACACACAAACACACACACACACACACACACACACACACTTATATATATAAGTCTTGAAATGTAAACAACTTATTAAATGACAACTTATTTACATTATGGGAGGTTTTTTTTATAAGAATATGTCAATAACTCAATTTTGACAAAAAAGTCAGATAGAACCTAATTCTAAGGTGACTATATATATATATATATATATATATATATATATATATATATATATATATATATATATATATATATATATATATATATATTCTAAATATGTATAATGCATTAAAACTGTAAAATATTAATAAAAATACATAAAAAATAAGAATAAGGTTCTTTTTGTAGCTATTTGTTTCATTATGTGTCTGAATTTTTATGTATTTAAATATATATTTTACATAAATAGGAATTTTGTTTTATTTATTTTTATGAAAATATTTATTATATATTATTAATAAATATTTATTTCTAAATTACTTTTTGAGAAATTTATAAAACTTGTGATACTAAAAAAATATAAAAATATATAAATTATTTGTTATTTTTGCTTAAAATAACCATATTAATGGTTTCAATTTTTTAAATGACTGGTTTCATTATGATTTTGCTTTTTTTTCTCTTACATTTTTCAAACACATTATTTATATTTTTAAAGTGACAAGTATTGATACTTTTATTTGATTATTTTTATTAATAATAATAATAATAATATATATATATATATATATATATATAAATATATATATATATATATATATATATATATATATATATATATATATATATATATATATATATAGGGCGACGCAGTGGCGCAGTAGGTAGTGCTGTCGCCTCACAACAAGAAGGTTGCTGATTCGAGCCTCAGCTGGGTCAGTTGGCGTTTCCGTGTGGAGTTTGCATGTTCTCCCTGTATTGGTGTGGGTTTCCTCCGGGTGCTTCGGTTTCCCCCACAGTCCAAACACAAGCGCTAAAGATTAATTGGATAAGCTAAATTATCCATAGTGTACATGTGTGAATGGGAGTGTATGGGTGTTTCCCAGTGTTTGGTTGCAGCTAGGCATGAGCCGATATAAGATTCTGATGATTTGATAACCTTGGATAAAAATATCATGATTTCCAGTATTATAATTACTGCTCTAAAATATGTTATTTTAAAATGTCTGGGTGAAAAAATACTAAAATATATTCAGAGAAACATTTAAAATATTTTGGAAGAGTAAACATGTCAGGCTAAATGAATTTTTGACTTCTGCTGTTCTTATTTGATTCCAAAACAGATGTTTTTACAATTTAAACAGCATCTTTACATATTTTTTCTGCTGAAGACACTGCTGTCCTAAAAAACAAACAAACAAAAAATCATCATACCTTATAACAGTTTAGAAGAAAAGTTTGACGGTTTTAAAACCTTGACTTTTCCAAACCGCGGTATACCTTGAAAACGGTTATCGTCCCATGCCTAGTTGCAGCTGGAAGGGCATTCGCTTTGTAAAACAAATGCTGGATAAGTTGGGGGTTCATTCCACTGTGGCAACCCCAGATTAATAAAGGGACTAAGCCGAAAAGAAAATGAATGAATAAATGTTTTAATATTTACCAATATAGATTCAGGACTTCACAAACTAAAACTTCATAAGCTATTATACATGCAAACACAGCAATAAAAGTACAAAAAATATATCGATGCTTTTGCTCTTCAGTGTTTGGAGTGAAAATTAAACCACACTGAACTAAACAAGACTAAACTTCAACTCTGAAATCTGGACCGACACAGTTTACATTTATTAGAACTTCTACTGTATGTCAAGCTGCTTTGACACAATCTACATTGTTAAAGCGCCATAGAAAAAAAGATGAATTGAACTGATTATATATTAAAGCACAAGATATGTTTAATATTTACCAATTTATATTATTATTTAAAAACTAAAACATTTTCATAAGCTACTAAACCTGCAAACAGAGTGTGAAAAGCACCAACAGGACGAGCTCCTGCAACCGCTTCAATTGATTTACTGATTTATTTATGTGCGCAAATAACGTGTGTGTCACTCAGCGCTGTGTGTTTCTCTGGGATCAGCATGTGTGTGAACTACATGCTCTGTAATGAAATTATCTTAACCCGTCAGACAATTAATTGTCAGCAGCCTTTCATTCTCGCAGCCCGTAAAAATTGACATAAGCTTTACAAACATTCCACGCATAGTTTCTCAGGAAGGAAGAGCAAATTCAGTCTCGCACACACACCACAAGCGCACACACCACAAGCGCACACACCTTATACTAACCACCCTGTTGTATTTAGAACACTTAAATACAATTCACACAATTATTTAATGGGGAAAAACTAATGAATCTGAATAAGCAATTAGGTGAAAATCCAAATTACTAGGCTACTTAGAGTAAAATAGATTGAGTTTAAGATTAAAAGTAAGAAAAAAAATGCACAAAAAAATGCAAATGACAGCATTGATGAGTGTTTACATGTACAACAAACATGGCTTCAAACATTGAAATCAATAAACAACTGCAATTAAACTCATGCTAAAGGTGTTTCTGTGCTAAAAAAATGACATTTTAACAGGCAAAACAATCCACTTGATAAAGATTTTGCTTAGACCACTTATAAAATTGCACATCATGTTATCTGCTGTAAGATTGTACACGTAAACACACTCATTGATTAACTAATGCTGTTTTAATTAGACGTAAAAAGCTCATTACACTCCATTATGGTTTCTAACTCTGAGCGGAACCTGAGACTTGAGTCATGTTTCTGCCGGCCCGGCTCCACAAATGTCACATTAGCAGTCTCAGTTGTTTATATCCTTGGTTGATTGATTTGTAGAGAAGGCGGAGCTTGAGTAATACACTTATAAATGTTGTTGACTGATTGACAGTGGGCGGGGCTTCTGTACTATATTTTAGAAGCCGATGTTATGACTGATTTGTGGAGTGGGCGGGGCTTATGAACATCTGCGTTGTACATTCCATAACTGCTGTATTGAGTGACTGAAAAGGCGGGGCTTATGCAGATTTCATTCATGCTGACTAGTGTCGTAGGCATGACTCATTATTTACTAAAGGAGTGGGTGGAGCTTAAGGACAGCTGCACTATTTAAAACTGCTGTCATGAGTGACTGAAAAAGTGGGCGGGGCTTATAGAGTCATTTTGGCTGATTTTTGGAGTACGTGTGACTTAAGCAATATTTAAATACTAGTGGAGTGGGTGGGGATTATGGACTTGCATTATATTTCATTCCTGCTGACTAGTGTAGTGGGCGTGACTGAATTTACAAGTGGCGTGAGCGGAGCTTATGAACTGCTGCAATATATTCAAATCTGCTGTCATGGGTGACTGGAAAAGTGGGCGGGGCTTATGGACTATTACACTTGACTTTATTCCTACTAACTAGTGGAGTGGTTGTGTATCAAACTACATTTATCTTCTAGTGGAGTGGGTAGGGTTTATGCTATGCAACACTACATTTCATTACTGCTGACTACTGCAGTGGGCGTGCCTCGTTTACTAGTGAAGAGGGTGGAGCTTATGGACTGCTGCACTATATTCAATAGTCTTGAGTGACTGTAAAAGTGGGCGGAGCTTATGGACTGTTTCACTTTACTGCTGACTAGTGGAGTGGGTGTGACTCAAGGTGTATTTATCTTCTAGTGATATGGGCGGAGCTTCTGCATTGCAACACTATTTCATTCCTGCTGACTAGTGTAGTGGGCGTGCCTCATTATTTACTAGTGGAGAGGGCGGAGCTTTAGAACTACTGCAGTACTTTCATAACTATTATTACTAGTAAAGTAGGTGGGGCTTATGGACTTACATTATACTCTATTTCCTGTTGATTAGAGTAGTGGGTGTGACTGATTATGTAGTGGAGTAGGCGGGGCTATTTAATTTCTGATGACTAGTGGAGTGGGTGACTCAAGCTACAATTAAACACTAGTGAAGTGGGCGGGGCTTATGGACTCCTGCACTGTATTCAAAACTGCTGTCATGAGTGACTAGAAAAGTGGCGGGGCTTATGCGCTATTTCATTCCCGCTGACTAGTGGAGTGGGTGACACTTGAGTTTTTATTTAAATACTGGTAAAGTGGGCGGGGCTTATGCATTGCAACGCTATATTTAATTTCTGCTGACTAGTGTAGTGGGCGTGACTCATTAACTAGTAAAGAGGGCGGAGCTTATGGAGTGCTGCACTATATGTTTCACAACTGCTGTTTTGAGTGATTTAAAAAAGTGGGCGGGGCTTATGGACTGTTACACTATACGTCATTACCGCTGACTACTGGAGTGTGTGTGTGTGTGACTGAAGCTACATTTAAATACTAGTGGAATGGGTGGAGCTTATAAACTGCAACATCATATTTCATTGCTGCTGTGTTTGAGCGTCTGGTGGAGTGGGCGTGGATTATTAACTCTTGCACTATTTGACCTTCCCTCCTGTGATGTCAGCAGCCTCCGCAGCCGTATTATCTCCAGTTTATACCTGCAGGTAGAGCCCACATCTGAAGATTACATCACCTATTAAAAGGTTTCCTAATATCACAGGTAGATGTTCAAATACCTGCCCAGGTGATTGTCCACATACTCCTTCAGCTCACACAGCTGCTCCTCTGCAACCGTAGCTCTGGTTAAAAGCTGAATCCTCTCTCTCTCTTGAGCTTCCTAGAGGAATGTTACAGTGTTTATCACGGTGAAGACTGCAGCTGTTGTCATGGTTTTATACTTGGATAATGTTTGATCATAAGAGTGCTACTGAATATGGTTTGAAGGGGACCTATAATGTAAAAATCACTTTTATAAGGGGTTTAAGCACAGTTGTGTGGCTACAGTGTGTAAATATAACCAGCTCCTAAAGGTAAAAGAATAGTTCATTTAACCTTTTTTATCACACTTGATAAAAACAGTCTGCAGAAACATTTTGATTGACATTCCCACTTTGTACATGTCATCAGGGGGAAAGTCCCACCCACTAGTGATGTCCCTTGACTTGACACACACTCTAGGGACATTAGATACTTATTTTACATCTTGTAAAAAAGGGACATAATAGGTCCCCTTTAAGGCTGGGATTGGGACTTAAAAGTGATTCATATTAGTCAATAACCAGCCATTTCCATCAGAAAATTAGGGCATGTTAGTGGTCAGTGTTAGGAATATATCTGTTTAGCATCAGCGGACCATATGCTAACATCTAGACAGCTTGTGTTGGTTACCTGTGTGGAGTTTGTTATTTCTCTGATCTGCCTTTTAACATCTGCCCAGGCTTCTTGGGTTAATTCAGTCCTACACAATTTTTTAAAAACCAAAATCCATTAAATAAACAGACAAACAGTACATTTCTACTTCACTTCTACTACACTCACATATATCCATCTATCCATCTATCTATCTATCTATCTATCTATCTATCTATCCATCTATCCATCTATCTATCTATCTATCTATCTATCTATCTATCTATCTATCTATCTATCTATCTATCTATCTATCTATCTATCTATCTATCTATCTATCCATCCATCCATCCATCCATCCATCCATCCATCCATCCATCCATCCATCCATCCATCCATCTATTTAGAATGGTTGTTATTAATTTTTTATTATATTTGTTTGAAATTTTAATTTTTCCTTTTTTTTTAAACATACTATTTAAATTTTTTTTATTATATATACAGTAGTCAACATGTACACTACCTGACAAAGGTCCTGTTATAGATCCCAGTTGTAGGAGCAACAAATAATGACTTGACTTCAAGTTGATCATTTGGAAAAGTGGCAGAAGGTACATTATTCTGATGAATCATCTGTTGATCTGCATCCCAATTATCACAAATACTACAAAAGACCTACAGGAACCCGCATGGAGCCAAGATTCTCACAGAAATCAGTCAAGTTAGGTGAAGGAAAAATCATGGTTTGGGGTTACAATCAGTACGGGTGTGTGCTAGAAATCTGCAGAGTGGATGGCAACATCAACAGCCTGAGGTATCAAGACATTTGTGCTGCCCATTACATTACAAACTACAAGAGAAGGCAAATTCTTCAGCAGGATAGCGCTGCTCCTCATACTTCAGCCTCCACATCAAAGTTCCTGAAAGCAGAGAAGATCAAGGTGCTCCAGGATTGGATAGGCCAGTCACCAGACATTAACATTATTGAGCATGTCTGGGGTAAGATGAAGGTGGAGGCATTGAAGATGAATCCAAAGAGTCTTGATGAACTCTGGGAGTCCTGCAGGAACGCTTTCTTTGCCATTCCAGATGACTTTATTAATCAGTGATTTGAGTCATGTCAGAGATGTATGAATGCAGTCCTCCAAGCTCATGATGGAGTCAGACACAATATTCATTCTGTCTCCACTGCAGCAGGACTTCATATTCTATACTGGACATTATTTCTGTTCAGTGATGAGACTTTTGTTTAAACAAACTCAGACCTTACTGTCCTAATGAAATCATTAATAATCAAAGCATGATCATATTTTATTGTGGTAAAATAAGTGAAATCTAGAGGCCTTTGCCTTTCATATAAGCCACTTCTGATACCAAATGATCAACTAGAAGTCAAGTTATTATTTGTTGTTCCTAAAACTTGGATAGGCGACAAGACTTTTGTCAGGTAGTGTAGAGAGGATCAAAACCTTTCACCAAAGTTAACCTACAACTATTCAACAACATCCATTTTTGTCTTAGAGCAACTCTGAAAACCTCTTTTTTGATTCACTGTTGACTACTGTATTTCTGCATCTTCAGGTTACCTCTTGTATTTTTATATATGTATATAGTGCAGCATTTACAATACATTTCCAGTGTTTTACTCACTTCTGAGAAGACTCTGACAACACAGCCATCTGAAATGCCAAGCACATGATGAAATCACAGAACAAATCCATTAAATAATACACACACACACACACACACACACACACACACACACACACACACACACACACCTGTTCTCGAGCCAGTTTCAGTTGGCTCTCCAGGCGGGCTTTGTCCTCTCTCAGTCTATGTATCTCTCTCTCGGTTTCACCACTCAGTTCGGGCCCCGCGGGACTGAACTGGGCCTCAGGGGGTCCGGCATCTAAAGCGTGTTCAGGGAGTGCCAGGATCTGCTCACGTTGCATTCTGGAACACACAGATACTACTTATCAGAGCAAATCAGATCTAGTGTGTGTGGGAGTTTTGCTTTTTGCAAAGGTCTGAAACGACTAAAAATGTTCCCAGAAAAACCTGAACAAACTAATCCTGGATTTAATTTTAGGGTTATTCATCAACTAAAACTAATAATAGGATTATTTTTTAATATTTAAATGAAGCAAACTTAAATCAAATGGATAGTTCACACCAAAATTTTAAATCTGTTAATTTATTCACCCTTTCAAATGATATCCATAGTATGCATTTTCCTACTATGGAAGTCGATAGTTACAGGTTTGAAACCACTTGAGGCAGAGTAAATAGTGAATAAATGTTCATTTTTGGTCGAACTATCACTTCAACTAAAATGCAGATACATTTCAAACTAAGGTCAAGTAGCAGGTTTTGTCCTGATTTAGAAAAAGAATGGTAGATAAAAACAAAATAAACTTGATTCACCATCCAAACACTTACATCTGTAGTCCAGAACAGTTCTTTGATTAATCATGTAGTATGTTGAATTTTTACATGATAGGTTATCTAGAGGGGGACATGTTGGCTCAGTGGTTAGCACTGTCGCCTAACAGCAAGAAGGTTGCTTGTTCGAGTCCCGGCTGGGCCAGTTGGCATTTCTGTGTGGAGTTTGCATGCTCTCCCCGTGTTCGTGTGGGTTTCCCCCACTCCAAACACATGCAGTACAGGAAAATTGAATAAACTAAATTAGCCGTAGAGTATGTGTGTGCATGTGAGTGTATGAGTGTTTCCCAGTGCAGGGTTGCAGCTGGAAGGGCATCCGCTGTGTAAAACATATGCTGGATAAGTTGGCAGTTCGTTCCGCTGTGGCGACCCCTGATGAATAAATGGACTAAGCCGAAATAAATGAATGAATGATGTTATCTATTATTAATGTATTATTTAGTGGCTTTTAAGATAGCCAACAGCTGATAAGCTTGATAAAAAGCAGATCATTATTTTTGTATCTTAAAAACAAAGCATTTATTAATAAAAAGTCAACCCAGGCTCATTCTGAAAACGTAGTCCCGTGGACATTTCTGGAGACTGTGAAATACGTCCCGGGAGGTTTGTATTTTTGCAGGTTTTGTTTTCGCGAATCCGCGAGATGCCGCTGTGTGCACTTTTTCGCTTTTCAATTGTCTCTCGTGAGTGCCGTTCGCGCCCGCGCTGATCTCAAGTTAACCCACCAGAGGCCGTTGTTGACCGACTGAATGATTGACTGGGTGACCTGGGTGACCCACCCTCCTCCTTCCCTAAACCCAACCAATTTTACCGATTGGCCCGTCTGCCCGCTTACTTGTCTAAACCCAGCCGCCGGTTTACAAAAGCCGTTAAGAAAAAGAAAAGCCCTCTTCTGATTTTTACCACGTTTTCAGATTTCACCACATTCTCACCCTGTTATTCACTTATTCATTTTTTTTTTTGGATTCTCTTTTTGTCTTTTTTGATTTTTTGGAACCGCTCTTCCCCAGATTTGAACCCGGTTGTTGTTATGGTCGTGATCAACTCCTCTCTGTGTCTCAAGTCCGCCGAAGTACACGACGTACAAACTGGACAAACTGGTTGCGGCGAGAAAGCCCTCCACATGGAGGCAAGCGGTCAGCCGGTGGGCGCCAATAGGAACGGCGTCATACCACCCTGTAGCGTTCGCTTAAAAAAATGAATTGCAGCCTTACATACCTCTGGCTACATAATTTGCGGCCTCCAGAAATGTCCGCTGTATGTTTTCAGAATGAGCCTGTGTTGTAAAAAGTACATAGACTAACAATATGAGTAATTACATTTACAAAAGTGATTTTATATACATAAAAAGCATATCAAATTCAAAGTATTTACTTTAATTTTTCAAATAATGTTAATGAAAATAAAATAATAAATTATGCCAGAAACAATGTTCCATCTTCATTTAGTGCACAGGTGTCAAAGTCAGATCCTGGAGGGCCGCTGCTCTGCACAGTTTAGTTCAACCCTAATTAAACACTCCAGATCAAACTAATTGAGTGCTTCAGGGTTGTTTGATAACAACTGATAGGTGTGTTAATGCAGAGCTGGAACTAAACTCTGCATATAATAATTTATTTCTAATAACTGATTTCTTTTGTCTTTGTCATAAAGACAGTACATAATATTTTACAAGATATTTTTCAAGATACTAGAATTCAGCTTAAAGGGACAGTTAAAGGCTTAATTAGGTTATTTAGGGTAAAGTTAGGGTAATTAGGCAAGTCATTGTGTAACAATGATTCTGTGGACTATCGAAAAAATACTGATAAGGAGGCTGATGATATTGACCTTAAAATGATTTTTAAAAAATTAAAAACGCTTTTATTCTACCCGAAATAAAACAAATAAGACTTTCTCCAGAAGAAAAAATATAATCGGAAATACTGTGAAAATTCCTTGCTCTGTTAAACATCATTTGGGAAATATCAGAAGAAAACAAAACTATCATAACTGTAATTGTAATAACTTCAACTGTAAATTACACAATTTAAGTAGACTTTCTGTGCACCATTAAAACCATGTAAAGAGTAAATAGTTTGTATTAAGAGCAGTGTGTGACTGTTCATGCACCTGTAAGCAATGAGTAGCTGTTGATGTGCATTGCTCAGCCCCTGTATGCGTTTGCGGTACGTCCTGACAGCTTTGGTGAGCTGCTCTTCTCTGGAGCGGTATGATGTTTTCATCTCCTCCAGCATGGATTCAACAAATCCCTTCAACTTCTGTCCTAAATCAACATTGCCGGCTGCTGATACACACTCCTACAGCACCACAAACCACACAACATCATAACACACCACATTAATGATTTATGAAAGATCAAAGTGACACAGTATTGAGTTTGAAAATTCTGTGTTGGATTTCAGGCCTAAATGACAATTTAAAACATATTGAAATAAAAACTAATTAATTTAAATAATGAAAAATAAATGTAGTTTTGACGAGTATAAAAACAGAAGGTATTGCAAACTTTATTACAATTTATTAGGTACACCTTGCTAGTACTGGGTTGGACCCCCTTTTTGCCTTTAGAACTGCTTTCATCCTTCATGGTATAGATTCAACAAGGAACTGGAAATATTCCTCAGAGATGCCAAATTCTGACCCGACCATCTGAATTTTGCAGCAGAAATGGAGACTCATCAGAGCAGGCAACATTTCTCCAACCTTCTATTGTTCAGTTTTGGTGAGCCTGTGTGAATTGCAGCCTCAGTTTCCTGTTCTTAGCTGACAGGAGTGGCACCCGGTGTGGTCTTCTGCTGCTGTAGCCCATCCGCCTCAAGGTTGGACGTGTTGAGTGTTCAGTGATGCTCTTCTGCATGTCTCGGTTGTGACGAGTGCTTATTTGAGTTACTGTTGCCTTTCTATCAGCTGAAACCAGTCTGGCCGTTCTCTTTTGACATCAACATGGCATTTGCGCCCACAAAACTGCCGCTCTCTGGATACTTTCTCTTATTCAGGCCATTCTCTGTAAACCCTAGAAATGGTTGTGCATGAAAGACCCAGTAGATCAGCAGTTTCTGAAATACTCAGACCAGCCTGTCTGGCACCAACAACCATGCCACATTCAAAGTCACTTAAATCACCTTTCTTCCTCATTTTTGATGCTCGGTTTGAACTGCAGCATATCGTCTTGACCATGTCTACAATCCTAAATGCACTGAGTTGCAGCCATGTGATTGGCTGATTAGAAATTTGTGTTAACAAGCAGTTGGACAGGTGTACCCAATAAAGTGGCCGGTAAGTGTATATTATTTTGCATTTGAAAGAAGAAAGTCAAAAATAGCCTTAATCTAAACAAGTGAAAGATGAGTAAATATGGCAGATTTATTATTTTTTTGGGTGAACTATACCTTAAAAGGGGTCCTATTATGCCCCTTTTTACAGGAAGTAAAATAAGTCTTTGATGCCCCTATAGTGTGTTTGTGAAATCATTCATTCATTTTCTTGTCGGCTTAGTCCCTTTATTAATCCGGGGTCACCACAGCAGAATAACCACCAACTTATCCAGTAAGTTTTTACGCAGCGGATGCCCTTCCAGCCACAACCCATCTCTGGGAAACATCCACACACACAGTCACTCACACACACTACGGACAATTTAGCCTACCCAATTCACCTGTACCGCATGTCTTTGGACTGTGGGGAAGACCGGAGCACCCGAAGGAAACCCATGCGAAGGCAGGGAGAACATGCAAACTCCACACAGAAACGCCAACTGAGTCGAGGTTCGCACCAGCGACCCAGTGACCTTCTTGCTGTGAGGCGACAGCACTACCTACTGCGCCACTGCCTCGCCGTGTTTGTGAAATTTCAGCTTAAAATTTCTTTCAATAATGTTTTATAACTTTGTGCAACTGCCCCTTTTAGGCTTTGATCCTAATTGTGCTATTTTGATGACCGATGCTTTAAATTCAAATAAGATTTTGCTCTTTTCAAAAGTGGGTGGAGCTACAGATGTGTGTCAGCATAGTGGCAGATTCAAAAACTAGACATATGTCCTATGCTAATGAGGGAGAGTTTATCACTAATGAGCGGAGTTTTCCTCCTCTGATGACACGTACAAAAGGTGAATGTGAATTAAAGTGTTTCTGCAGTTCATATCAAGTATGATAACTAAAAATCTATAAATGTTAACCTCTAGAAACTTGTTATATTCACACACTGTTGCCACAGAACTCTGTTTAAACCACGTATAAAAGTGATTTTTTTCATAACAGGTCCTCGTTAATTCACCTAAATGTTTGTTAGCATGTAAACGTACTGTTATGTCCTGAATATAGTGTTTGAGTCGCGCCCTGTACTCTCTATTGAGCTCCTTCAGGTGGTTCTGCAGTTTAGAAACCTCATTTTCAGCCTCTTTCAGCTGCTGCTGAGACAAAATCAGTGTCTGCGTGTAAACAAGAACAAACCAGCAATCAGAAACACACAACAAACGTCATCTTCTGTGTAACTGGCTGATAACACACTCACCGTAGACTGCTGGGAAAGCTGGAGTCGGGTGTTTTGAATGGCTCTCTTATTCTCCTGTTGTTCCCTCCCCATGGCCACTCTATGAGAGAAAGATAACACACACACGTACACACATTAGCTGACCTTCACTGCCCTGGTCACATGACTAAACCGGTGAACAACACACTCGTGAAAATAAACACTCCACCACATCCCTCCTAATAGCAGGTGCACAGAGTTTGGTTTCAGCAGGTCAAACTTTAGCTGACACTATTGTGGCGTTAGCTAAAAGCGCTAATGGATATTTACACAGTACTTCTACTTTCACATTTCTGACAATCCTTTCACAGGCGTTTGGTTGAACTAAATGCTTTTAACAAGCATCTCCTGTGTGTGTGATCAGATTTCATGTCACTATTGCACATGATGAATATCATTCAAGAAAGGCACAGTGCAACTTTTTCCACTAGAGGGCGTGTATTCGCAACAAACAAAGGTGTATTTTGATGATGCCATGACTGAGTGTGAAATCATGGGAGTTGTCTTCATCATGCTACAGGACTCATGTTGATGAGTAAAGTATTTAACACTTATAATCATGGTAGATAAAGCAAAAACCTGTTCACACCAAACACAATAAGCTTTTAATTTGGCATCACCCCTTGTGACCAGCAGGTGTCCTCAGTGTGAGGCTACCCCATCTGAACACACTATTAGTGTGTTCAGATGGCGTTAGTGTTAGTGTGTTAGATTAGCGTTAGTGACATGTAATCAATCTAATCAATAAGTCAATTTTGCAACCGTAGTCTGTTTCCCAGCAATTTCAACACAAAAACACTGAAACTAGCACTGGATTCCTGTATTTCTTTTGAAAGCCAGCATGACTTTCATAACTTCCATGTGTTTTTTTTATCATTATCATGAACGTGCCTCAAGTCTGAAAGCCATGGATGTGAAATAAGAAAAACGCTGAAGCAATTGCTGATGAGAGACAACAGCGACGTGGCATGAAAGCAGCGGAATTTTTATTATGCCACAGTCCATCCCTTCTAGTTCTTCTGTTTGAGTACATGTGGAGAAGAAGAAGGGCTGTTTTATTAGACTAAATACATTTTAGGCTTCAGTCATAATGCTTCTCTGTGCAGTCTACTAAAACACATTTCATATTAAGGCTGCTTTTAAGAAATTGTTAGTAATTGATATAGTTCAAGATACAAATTTAGATTTTTGTCTTAAATTGGATGGTATAAATATAAAAGAAATTATTTAATAAATATACATATACATACATATATATATATATATATATATATATATATAAATATATATATATATTATAAAAATATGTTCCTTCAGCTATTGTGTATTGGAGATCACAATTTCAAGATGTTAACTGGAACGAGACTTAAGATTTCCAGACGTTTTTGTATAACGAATAAAATTAGAGAGGTGTCATTTAAAATTGTTCATTGTATTTACCCTGCAAAACTGGCAATTGCAAGATTCTGTAAAGATAAAGATTTAAAATATACTTTCTGTAACGATAAAGAAGAGAGCATTGTTCATTTATTGTTCATTTATTTCATGATTGTATTTTTACACAATTGTTTTGGTGTGATCTTTTCTTTTTTGTTAAGCAGAGTACAAACATTGCATTGGAATTCAAGGAAAAATATGTTTAATTTTTTATGAGAATACAGTTAACTTTAAAATGTGGCATATTTATAATTTGCTTATTAAATATGGAAAAACAATTATTCATAAATGTAAATAGGCAGTGAAAAAACCTAATTTTACTCACTTTAAAATAGAAATAAGTCATTACCTATGCACAATAAAATACCAAAGCAAAAAAGAACTGTTATTTATTTTAAAGCCTTAAATTGTGTTTTTTGAATAATATTTTTCCTCATATTCTACTTGATTGGATGTTAATACAATGTTGTTATTGCCCTTGTAAGTTCTGTGTTCTAAAATTGCAATTAAAAAAAAAAAAAGATGCTTTTTCCATGTTTTCTAGAAAGCCAAACCCAAAATCAAGGTTGTGTGACATCATTAGCATCAACACACAGTACACACTCCTTCTCACCAGTTAAAATTGATGATTTCTCAGAATTTGAGCATTCTTTGAACCATTTGAGATAATGCAAGTACTTCAGTCAGAAAAATGTCACTGTTCTTGACGTTTCTGGATATTTTAATGAAACATAAATATTAAATATTATGCAAACCGGATAAGACAAAAAACAAGTGCATGACTGTTTGGTGAACACTTCAATGTGGTTTCAGTGATCACGAAACGTTCTGCAAACTTAATGTCGCCCACTAGTGTTTGGTATTAGAGATGCAGATCAAACACATCATCATGTGCCTCACACTTTGTCCTCTAGCCGTCGCTGCTGCTCCTCGTAGCTCTTCCTGAGTTTTTCCAGCTCCTCTCTCAGCTTATTCTGAACTCCCTGCAATAAAAAACAGCGCACTTGTGTGAAACAACATCACAATACAGAAACATATTAAATTATAGATAAGCACACAAAACCTATTATAAATATTATACCACATTAATTAGCCATGTTTTTCTTTTTTTTAAATGAATAACCAAGGTAATGGCGAAGCAGTGGCGCAGTAGGTAGTGCTGTTGCCTCACAGCAAGAAGGTCGCTGGTTCGATCCTTGGCTCAGTTGGCGTTTCTGTGTGGAGTTTGCATGTTCTCCCTGCATTCGCGTGGGTTTTCTCTGGGTCCTCCGGTTTCCCCCACAGTTCAAAGACATGCGGTACAGGTGAATTGGGTAAGCTAAATTGTCCGTAGTGTATGAGTGTGTGTGTGAATGAGTGTTTATGGATGTTTCCCATAGATGGGTTGTGGCTGGAAGGGCATCCGCTGCATAAAAATGTGCTGGATAAGCTGGCGGTTCGTTCCGCTGTGGCAACCTCAGATTACAGTTTTTCTCGATTGCTTGGATGCAGTTGTCAACTGAAACTCCACATTTTCAAAACAGTTAACACACAGGCCTAAACAGCGGCACTCATGGTCAAAATGACACATTTTGCTTGCAAAAGGCACATATTGTGTCAAAACATTTAACATATGCAACAAAAGCTAGTTTTACCTTCAAACTACACAACTTGCAAACAAGTATATGAGCTCTTTCAATTAATCATTACACAATGGACAACAAAATACAAAATACAGAACTCAAAATGCACCACCATTGCTTGCCATTGTAGCTTATAGCCAATGGCATTTGTTGTCTCTATTTGGGCTGTCAAATTCGCCTTTTTGCAAAGAATTGGATCAAGAATAAGATGTGCTATGATTGAATATATATTGAATTCATGACATTTTTCAAACTGTGGCTGAAAACTGAAATACTGTATATAAAAAAACAGACAAAAGTAATAAAATACTGTAAATATTAGAGAAAACACATGTAAACTAATATACTACAGTATAGGACATAGCCATATTGACCTCCTCCATCAATGCTGGCACAGAACAACACAGACCTTCCATCGTTTTTATAAGGTTTGCAGAATGATGGCTAATTGAAGATTTGTGTGAAGGAGTGTCAAACAGGTGCTTCAGTGATTTCATACTGATGTTGGTAGTTTTTAATAGTTAGGAATAGATGGATTCTGTTTAGTTACCAAAACTAAAACAATAGAGTTTGGACTGCTTGAATGACATCTGTGTTAACTGTTTGGAAAAATGGTAGGGAAAATGTGTCAACCCAATGAGAAAGGGTTTACACATTTGCAAGACCGGTCCTCTGCTCTGCTGGGATAGTGATAATGAAAATGAAGAGGAAGCTAGTTTCTTTAACCAGGTCAAAGCAAACAAGAAAAACTGTAATAAAGGGACTAAGCCGACAAGAAAATGATTAAATGAACGAATAACCAAGGTAATTTCAGCTAAAAATGCAATGTTCAACTAAAGACAGAAAGTGTCCAACATCTTAAATAGTCTGAGGATGAATAATGAACAGCATATTTTCATTTTTAAGTGATCTACAAAACACTTTTACTGTAAGATATGCATATTAGCATGATTTTCTGTAAAGCTGCTTTAAATCCTTTTGATTTGATACACTCATAATCAAATAATAGTTTAGGATATTCTTACATTTTCCCCCAGTGTGCTCTTGCTCTGTTCAAACTCCTCTGGCTGTTAAAACAAACAGCAAAAACAGTGTGTTTAAATATAAAAGTTTATTAGGAAATATACTGGTTTACTACTTTAATTAATGGGATTTGTTAAGGAAAGCAGCACTGTTGTTATTGATATGCATACTTCTATATGTATTTATTACCTATGATAATATCATAATGGTTGTTTTAATGTCATGACAAATTACATTAGTTGTTACTCACTTTGCACAAAACATGTCTTACAAGTAGAAAAGCCTTGACTGAAGCCAATTAGAATGCAGTCAGAATGACCATATCATTTAAGTAAGTAAAAAAGTAGAAAAAAATAAGATAAGATATGAGAAATATTGCACGGACAGGGACAGAACCTCATAAACATTTGGTTGTATTTTTGTGTGAAGGTTGCATGTGAGAGTGTGTACATGTAAGTGTTTGTGTGATTATGTGTGCGCATGTGATTTTGTGTGTGTGCGTGTGCATGTGAGTGTACGTATGTGAGAGAATGTATGCATGTGCGTGTGTGTATGTGAGTGCGCATGTAAGTATGTGTATATGAGAGTGTGCATGTGAGCGTGTGTGAGAGAATGTGTGCATGTGCGTGTGTGTGTCAGTGTGCATGTAAGTATGTGTATATGAGAGTGTGCATGTGAGCGTGTGTGTGAGAGAATGTGTGCATGTACATATGTGTGTGTCAGTGTGCATGTAGAGTGTGTGTGTGTGTGTGTGTACTGTAGTGAGTGAGTCTGCGTGCCTTTGTGTGATTGTGTGTGTGTATGTCTGTGTCTGCATACATGCAAGTATGAGAACGCCTGAGTTTGTGTATGTGAGTGTGTGTGGGCATGTGAGTGTGTGTGTGTGCACGTGTTTGTGTTGATTGCTGATTATATGTGCGTATCAGAGTGTGTGTGCATGAGTGTGCATGTGAGTGTTTTGTGGTTGTGTGTGCACGCAATGCACACAACGCATGTAAGTGTGATTTTATGTGAGTGTGTATGTGCATGTGAGTGTGTCTGCATGTTTTAGTGTGATTGTATATGCATACGTGCGAGTTTCTGCATGCCTGAATGTGTGTGCGTGAGTGTGTGCATGTGTTTGTGTTGATTACTAATTACATGTGGGTGTATGAGTGTTTGTGTATGCATGTGATTGTGTGTGTGTGTCTCACCTTGACTCTGTTCTGTGATGCTCTGCTCAGCAGCGCTCGAACCCTCTCTAGCTCCAGTGTGTGTCTGTGTGTGCGTTCTCTCTCCTGCAAGAGTGTGTCGTGTGTGCGCGCGAGGGCCAGCAGCTCGGAACTGAGCTCTTCAGACTGTGTTCGTTCTCGTTCATAAGCATCTCTCAGAGATAGGAAGTTCCTCTTTACGACTGTGAACTCTTCGGCCAGGTCATGCTCATTTCGCTCAGAGATTTCTAAACGTGTCGATGCTGCGGACACTTCCTGTCTGAGCCGATCACGTTCTGCCTGAAGAGACGAGGCAGTTCCTTCATGACATAAAACCTGGAGAGAAAGACAGTGAAAGTAAAATCATTCATACAGCAGATATTAGGGCTGCACAATATATCATTTGAGCAACGATATCGCAATGTGTGTATCCACAATAGTCACATCGCAGAATTAAGATTATTTATTAAAGATTAAAAGATGAAGAGGGTGACATGGTGGCTCAGTGGTGCGCACCTTAGCCTCACAGCAAGAAGTTTGATGGTTTGAGTCCCAACTGAGTCAGTTGGCATTTCTGTGTGGAGTTTGCATTTTCTCCCCATGTTTGTGTGGGTTTCCCCCCACAGTCCAAACACATGTGCAATAGCTGAATTGAATAAACTAAACTGGCATAGTATATGAGTGTGTGTGTGAATGAGTGTGTGTGGATGTTTCCCAGTACTGGGTTGCAGCTGGAAGGGCATCCGCTGTATAAAATATATGCTGGATAAGTTGGCGGTTCCTTCCGCTGTGGTGACTCCTGATGAATAAAGGGACTAAGCCGTACTGAATATCCTCAAATGGATGCCACCATCACAATTGACATCGAATAGCTGAAGAAGACAAAAGAATTTGGATTACCTGGGCTCAGTCATCAGCAGTGCCGGAAGCATCACCTTCGATGTCTGAGCAAGAATGAATGCAGCTTAGCTGAAATGGCGAAAGGTTACTGGCGTCCTTTGCGACAAAAGGATGTTGGACTGACTCAAGCAGCCCTGTATGGCGCTGAATGTTGGTCCGCGTCTACCACACATGAACATGGCTTAAACACTATAGAGATGCAGATGCTCCGCTGGAGCCAAAGTATCATAAGATGGGAGCATATTATGAGCAATGACATACAGAAGTGAATGGGATGAGCCTCCATTAAGGCGGAATCGCGCCTAAGGTAGTATGGACTAGGGATATCCAGATTGATCACATGATCGGAAATCGGGCCCGATCACGCGATTTCAGACTTGATCGGAATTAGACATTACCTCCAGATCAGGACTTAAATATACATGCATACATTCTCATTATTTTTAACACATCTATAGTGCGGTGGCAGAGTTAGACCTCTTGACTTCACACAGAAGCAGCAACGCTAGAGACACTATTGGTTAAATAACGGCAAAGTAGAACATGGAAGCAGCTTAAAGCTGAAAGGTAAGTATGTCTGCGGACTAAGAGTATTAAAAAGTTGATGATGACAATATTGTCATAGAAACTGTGAGATATGTGAACTTGAGATTGCAAGAGGTGTAGAATTGATGATATTTAGTACTGGATAGTTCAAGCTACCTCACTGAAGTGCTCTGTTTGTTATTCTTTTTTATGTATTATAGAAGTATCGGATGAGGTTTCGATATTGGTAAATACTCAAAATCAAATGACTTGAACTCAAGGGCAAAAAACCTGATTGGGACATCCCTAGTATGTGCACATGTAACCCCGTCGGTCCTACACCACCAAACCCGCTCCAAGCTGGTATCAAACCGGCAACCTTCCGCATGGGAGTCGAGTGCTCTACTAAGGAGGCTAAAAACCATAGCCTCTAGCGTCTGTCGCTAGAGCACCTTTAGAGGTCAGAGGAGTGAGGTTTACCTGCACAGTACACACTAGCTGGCCTCCGTTACACACATAAATCAAAGTGATTTGAACTCTGTAGCAAGAACAGTAATGGGGATTACTCCAGACAGAGGCCAGCCAAGGGGTAGATTGAAGAAACGATGGATGGAAAGAACTAAGGAAGACTTGAAGATCGTCAGATCCCTAGAAGATGCCCTGGACAGGACCAAATGAAGAAAACTTTGCCAAAGAGCGGGTCCTGCAACAGCGGGAACAACGCCAGGAAGAAAGAAATTAAAGATTTAAAGATAGTGATATTATTATTTTTCAGTAATAAATACAATGATGACCATGTTATTTTATCAATTACTGTACCTGAATACTATTAGATTCTCCAGAAAACCCCAAAGCACTGTTTATTTTATTTTTATTTTGTATTTTATTTGCTTGTAGTTTATTATGATTTATTCACCACATAGAAAAAGACTTCATTCCAATTTATCTGAATGAATGAAATGTTCCAAAATACAGCTGTTTAAATTGCCTGGTAAAATTATAGTCATGTCGCAGAAAAACAAAAGATCGCAATGTCAGATTTGTCCAATTTTGTACAGCCCTACCAGATAAGAATTTTGATATTTTTATACTAGTAGGTGCAGGGTATAAAGAAAGTCAAACAGGTTTAAAACAAGTAAAGGGAGATAAAAATTATGACAAAATGTTCAGTTTTGGGTGAACTACCCCTTTAAGTGATCATAAGCGTGTGTTTACCATGTTTTTTAATTCAAAGATCTCAGCTTCGTACTGCTCTCTCATTTTATTGGCCTCAATCTGCACATCCACAAGGTCTTTTGAGATCTGAAACACACAGAAAATAAGAAATGATATCAGCTAACGTGTGGAGGATTTTGATATGCAAACAACAGGTAGATGGCATATTTCTAATCTGGTTTTAGCACCTACAGTACCTTCAGTTTGTCTTCCTCACACTGGACCAGCTTGACTGACAAGTCACTCTTTGAGGCAGCTTGTTGACCCAGTTTGTTTTGGGCCGAGTCAAGCTTACTAACCAGCTGTTTATTTCGCTCATGCAGCTGTACCTGTGTGGAAATCAGTGTTAACACTATGAACACAACACTGAGTATGTTATAAACTGATGCAGGGGTTTCTTTTAACCTAAGAATTAAACATTTATGCCATGACAGTGTTAATTTGATTAGAAAGGCATAAATAAAAACTGTATTATGAAATATTAAGATTTAAATGCCAATTTGTTAAAATACAATATTGTAATATGATAAATTGTTGCTCAAGAAATCTTTTTTAGCTATTTTGACAATACACAAATACATATGTCAATTATACATTAACATTTTAATGCAAATCAAACCTAAATGACTTTACTAATAACCTTAATAGGCTGGCTATATAAAAAATCAACGATTAAGTATAATATAAGTAAAGTTAAGTAAAAGTACAAGCATTAATCCCTTCACCAAAACAAGAAATTATCTTACATTTTCGTCAGTCAACAAGCGAATTTGCTCGTGAAGTTGGTTAATTGAGCTCTGTTTGCTCGAGTCCTCCATGTTGTGCAGCTGTCAGACTCAGAAGTGTTATGTCTAGTTTCCATGAACACGAGTCTCCATGGCTGTTCATAATACTGTTAAGCCTCACTGTCAGAGAAAAGCAAACTGTGACAGAGAGCTCCATCTCAGGCATAAATCACAGATTCGATCAGATCAGACGAATCGGAAAGAATTGCTAAGTAATTAGACGTGCTAATCAATATTCACCATGAAAGTAAAATAAGTTATATCAAATTTGATTTAAAAGATAAATAGATAAATAGTGACAATAACTGAAAATTTTTTTAAACAAAGTATAATTTTTTTTGTTGTTGAATTATTATACATTTATATAATTAAAAATATAAAACAAAAATATTGATCATGAGCTTCTCTGCTAGGCCTACTACTTGCGTTTTGGTTGCATATTATGCACCATAATATTAATCATAAATAATAAATTGCTAGTACTTTTGTGCAATAAGATTCACTAATAAGTCAATATTGAAAACTAAAACCCAGCAGCGTCAAAGTTTTAACTGAAATTGTGCTGGAAATGAATCTCTTATTTGATGTAAACCGTAGCCAACTTGAAGTTGAAAACTTAAACGAAAGTGAAACCATGTTCAAAAGAATCGACTCACTAAAAGAATCGTAATCACTATCGCCAAACGCTTCAGTCATACTTGATAATTTTTGAAAATCCGCTCCTCGCCTACCTCTGCACACGCGCGACGACCGTTATTCGCGTCAGGTGAGATTTAATCATATTTTCACAAACAACCTAACTAGTCAATGAATAAAAGAATGATTAATTTAATATTCAAAGGTTTGCAGATATGTCCCGTTCAAAGATTCCCGATACAGATAATTTCACAAGAAACACGGAGGCTGACACCGGAGGACAACTGGAGTCTTGCGACGAACAAGCTGTTCCGGATAATTATGAACTGGAACATTTGCACAAATTCCAGCCTTTTCTGGTTCGGGAGAAGTGTGAAGAACTGGCCAGAGAAGAATTTGAAGGAATAAAATACAACCACGACCGCTGCCGTTCAGTCTCAGAGAACTTGAGAGCGAAAATACTGGATCTCCTGAAGAAGTTATTCGACCGTTACCGGTTTGTAGTTCAAATCGTAACAGGAGGGAAAGCTGGCCAATCAGTGCTGGCTAATTTCGAGGCTGTGTGGGACACCGACTTCGACGATTACTTCATGATTACCTACAAACAACAAGATCTGTACGCCTTTGTAATGGTTTTCGCGATTTACTGAATTTAAGTTACTAAAAACACATTACATGTCATACATAAAATGAATAATCCATTTGGACATTGTGCTTCAAGAGATGTTGACCTATTGAAATTCACTCAAAACACAATATGATTTAATAAACATAGAAAATATTTATTAAAATAAGTACAATATATATGATACAAAGGTTGTTGAACAAGTCTGGTCATTACATAGTTTGTAAATTGTACAAAACTCGAATATAGTGGTCCCGTGTTATTCTTGATTGAAAGGCCTCGCACGTCAAATATGTAAATGCATTCTGGGCATTCGCAAACAAGCTACTCTCTACTTAAGGCAACCTGCAAAATGGCTTTTACAAAATCTCACATCATCTCCCAAAAACATCCCATCTGCTAGACTGGCAGTCCAATAGAAACATGGCACATTTTAGAAAAATGGAGGAGTAAACCAAGACTTGATAGTGAGACTTTAGTAGGCTAGTTTTTGTGAAATGTATGTAGTATTTTGAGGGAATTGTTGTCAATGATTGATGTTTTCATCTTCCTCCACCTCTTCATCATCGTCAGCAGCATGAGTGTTGGTATCTTTGTAGACCAGGCGGATTCCAGCAGCATTTTGTAAAGCCTCCAGACTGGTTTGACTCACATACATGCTCAGGTTTATTTTGGGATGCGTTGATCTCAATTCCTCTATTTTACTCCATGCCTGATGAACACACAAATCACAATGTTTAATTATAGTTTTATTTTAAATAGATCTGTGTGAAAAGCACATCTAATCTGGGTTTCAGGGTTTTTCAGACTCTTTGATTAAATAACCCAAAAACATATCAGAAAACAAGTCAGGTACTGAAACAAAAGCTACAAGCGAGATATGAAAACATCTCCAGATTTTGTTGATGCATTTAAACCCAGCAAGCATTTTTGTGCTTAAAATACATCTAATAGACATTCAAATATGGACATCTTGGCTGAAACAATGCCACATTTGGGCTGCCAGATAAAATGTAATAGACATCTAACAATAGTCTAAAAACAGACTAGCCATCAAATACCTAGGGATGAATGACTGCGCGAGTGAAGTCTGTCTACCGTAATCTGTCTATTTGATGACTAGTCTAGTTTTGGACTATTGTTAGACATCTACTACATTTTTGCCAACAGACCTAATTTAGCTTTACTCGAGTCAAGACATCGAGCTGCGTCCCAAATGGCACACTATGCACTATGTACTTATGCACTTACACACTCAACAGGATAGTATATGTATTTAGTGGCGTTCCAAATGGCACACTAATGTTTTTTTACTAAGCGGAAATTTAAACCGTTTCCCTGATGACGTTTGCCAAATCAGTAAAATAAATGAGCAAACTATCAAATAACACCTGCCGTGAGTACAACCGCATTCACCAACGGGAGGCGCTATAATCACTCTCGTAGGAGAAATTAGCTTTCATTCCAAAATAAATAAAGTTATCCAATATGTGCGCCCGATAGCTCTGCCCCTTCCGCTACGTAAGCAAACCTGTGGTCGTTGAGTGCGTGTAGTGACCATCATTACACACTTAATTTTAGCGGCTGAATGAGTACATCCGGGTAATTAAAGTGCTCTTACTATTTTTAGAGTTTTCAGTGTGAACGCACTACTTTTTATACTGCAAAATGGCGTAGAATAGTGCACAAGTATGCAATTTGGGACGCAGCTCAAGTTTGTATGTCTATTAGATGTCTTTTAAAAATTTAATTGCTTGATGGATAGGTAGTTAATGTGATGTACAGGCTTGTCGACCTCCAAACACCTCCAGAAGGGGTCGACTAGATCACTTCTTTAGTGTAAATGTACATGTGGTTTAATAGCCACAATCTGTGCTCAGATTGACTTTATTTTTAAACTTTATGGGATATATTAATAAGCTTTTAAGCACATATTTTCCTATATGTCCTAATTTTAACATAAACCCACAGTGTTGATGTAGTCATCTACATCTTTAATAAGGGTGAGACCACTTGTTATACTTTAAAAAACAAATGCACACAGATTCTGACAACAACAACAACAACAAAAAAAGAACATGCTAGGATTATATAGAGACCTGCGTGAAGTTGCCATGATGGCAGTAGTGTTCCACCAGGAAGCCATACACATCTCCAACACGCACTGCCAGATCCAGATCCTTCTCTTCCAGCAGAGACTCGCACAAACGCACTGCTTCTACTGGATCCTCCTCATGCATTCTAAAATTACATAAATACACTTAAAGGTACTGTATGCAAGGTTTTGAACCTTCTAAAGCATTAAAATACCATAATATGTTTGCAGATATTTAATAAACATGCTAAGTGACCATGGTATTTTATCTGAAAAACAATGCTTAAGTCAGTTATTCTGCTTTGAAAATGCGCTCAGTGTCGCAATGTCTGTCTTTGTTTTGGTCCGTGTAGTTCCGCCCACAGCCAGTTCACCCAATTATATTTCAGTTATATGACATTTCATTTCAGGCATAAAGGCTGCCTTAATGTATGTGCCGCAGCTGTTCGTGTGACCTCTGAAGAACAGTCGCAGCCTCCGCAGATTCAGAGTTACAACAATCCATGAGGTGGTTTTTAATGAGCAATTAATACAAAGATTTCAAAGTTAAATATTAGCTAAGCAGTGTTTGTCTTGTCAATTTGGCAACCTGCATGTGCATCGAGTCCCCTGGAAAGAGGATGTGTGAAAAAACCCTCCTTAATATTTTCAATTTGGATTGCAAATGATTAATCCAACATACTGCAGCTTTAAGGTGATGATACACGGTGCAACTTTTAGAGCAATGTTGCTGGGGCACTTTCTCATTGTCATTCATTCATTTATTTTCTTGTCGGCTTAGTCCCTTTATTAATCCGGGGTCACCACAGCAGAATGAACCGCTAACTTATCCAGCACGTTTTTACGTACACACACACATTCACACACAAACTCATACACTACGGACAATTTAGCCTACCCAATTCACCTGTACCGCATGTCTTTGGACTGTGGGGGAAACCGGAGCACCCGGAGGAAACCCACGCAAATGCAGGGAGAACATGCAAACTCCACACAGAAACGCCAACTGAGCCAAGGTTCGAACCAGCGACCTTTTTGCTGTGAGGCAACAGCACTACCTACTGCACCACTGCGCTGACTTTTTCATTGTGATTAAGCAATAAAATTATATTTAGATGGTGACGCGGTGGTGCAGTAAGTAGTGCTGTCGCCTCACAGCAAGAAGTTCGCCGGTTCGAGCCTCGGCTAGGTCAGTTGGCGTTTCTGTATGGAGTTTGCATTAGGGTTGGGTGATGTCGACCAATTTGGCATCGTACGATGTTTAATGTGAAACTTAGCGATGGATGATGCCATTGTCGTCATAGGCGGAGGTGAATTATTTATTTATGACTAATGAATTAATTAATAATGAATGAATTATTTGTAGCCTACAGTTTCAACTACCTGACCCGCATGCTCTTTGTTTTACCCATAAACAAATCATAAATAAATAAAGATAAATTGCACACAAATTACCACCTGTCAATCACTTTTTCCGTGGGAGGTTGGTCGGTAATAAAATTGCACAATTAACAGTATCTGAGGTTTTCACTAAAATTACTAAGTACAAGTGTGGTCACGTAATGTGCGTTTTCAGCGGTTGGAGGGCTGTTCAGAAATGCTAGGTAAAACACGGTGTGGATGTGGCTCATTTTCGTTCTTAAATGCCATTTTAAAACTAAGACACATTAGTGTAAACGAGGTCAAAGTGTGCATTTTTT